AGTGGGCTGTAGTCCACGAAAGCTTATGCTCTAATAAATTTGTTAGTCTCTAAGGTGCCACAAGTACTCCTGTTCTTCTTTTTGAGGAACGTCACTGTGTTTCCACCGGCTATACTGTTGTTATTTGGGAAGCCCCAAATCGGTGTCAGTTATTGCCCTTGTAATGGGTGATGGCCCAGTAAAATTCAAGTTCAAAAGCTTGAAACTGGAAGTCAAGCAAACCAACACAAAAACGTTTGCCAAAAAATGCAGAGAACAGACAGTTTTTTCAATATTAAGTCATTGGTTGATGAAAAAGAAGTTAAAATTTTTACAGGCTCTGTGTGTGCATTAACTATGAAAATTAACTTGTCCAATGAAAGTCTTTGAATGAAATCCTGGTCCCCACTGAAGTCAGTGGGAATTTTGCTATTGACTTCAGTGGGGACACAATTTCAGTCTTTGCCTCAGTTATAAATGGCAGCACAAATAGACTCACATATGTCAGTAAGTGCCAAAGTTTTTCAGTGTACCTACACTGGTAATCTGGAAACTCCATTCTCAGTGTAACCGCCTGTCAATCAGCATGACGTTTGTTCTAATAGGGAATAAATCCTTTCTGGAGTCATATCCCAAAAAAATCGGTGCAATAAATGATTTCATTTCTCATTTGTAGAAGTTTTCTAGGAAGGTCAAGACTTCCAGTACTAGAAGCCCAAATTCATCCCTGCTGTAATTCCACTGAAGTCAATAGAGTTACATCAGGGATGAATATAATCAAATCTTTCCAAAAGCGTGGTTAAATGAAATCACACACCCTTTCAATTCCAAAGTCAGTTTTCAACTAACTCCATGCTATTTGTATTACTTCAGAGATGCCACTAAAACTTGTATTCCTGGATGACAGTGTTATCATTCACTGTTCTCAAGGATACAGCTAAAATTCAGTTCCAGGAACACAGAGTGAAACCTATAGCCAAGTACATATGTAAAATATGTATATAAAGGCTTTTTCCAAGACTTCTTTAAAAATTGGCAGTGTTGAGTAAATCAATTGTATGAAGAATCCCATCTCCCCCTTTCCTGCTTCCTTTCCCCAATCTAGGCTCATTTAAGCAGGCAGAAGAATTAGGGTTCTAGTTTGAAATTAAGTAACTAATTTACAGATGACAGAAATTGGGGCAGTGGTAAATAATGAAGAGGACAGGTCACTGGTTGAGCTATCTGGATTGCTTGCTAAAATGCATATTGTTTGTGCCCAGCTTAAAATGGCTAAATGTAAATATCAAGGAACAATGAATGTAGGCTGTACTTATAGGATGGGGGACTCTATCCTGGAAAGTATTGACACTGAAAAAGATTTAGGGGGCTGAATATGATCTGTCAGTGTGATACTGTGGCCAAAAGAGCTAATGTGATCCCGTGATGAATAAACAGGGGTCTCCCAAGTAGGAGTAGAGAGGTTATTTTACCCCTGTACTTGGCACTAGTACAACTGCTGCTGGAATACTGTATCCAGTTCTGGTGTCCACAATTCAAGAAATATATTGGAGAGGGTTCAGAGAAGAGCCATGAGAATGATTAAAGGATTAGAAAACATGCCTTAGTGATAGGCTCAAGGAGCTCAATCTATTTAGCTTAACAAAAAGAAGGTTAAGGAGTGACTTGATTCTAGTCTATGAGTTCCTACACAGCACTCAAAAGAACTACTCATATGAGTAGTAAGGATTGCATGATCAAGTCCATAAGATTTCTGAAAGCTTAGGCCCTACATTTGTCAAAGTTATATGCAACTATTAAAACACATTTTGTTAATCTTAGTACAATTATGACACTGTGACATTACCCAGAGTACAATCTGGACCGATGAATAGCTTTGTTCCCTCAGTTCTTCAATCTGGGGTGCCTTTTACATTGCTTCACAGTGAGAGTTACCACTTCTGGTCTATTCACAAACAACCTCCAGCATGTTAATTGCTCTCTATGAGCTGAGGGGTGAAAACATTAACTGCTATAGCCAGCCACTCTTGAATTACACTGCAGAGAAACACCAGCCAATTCCCAATCCCAGACTTTCCCCAGAAATGTAGGTCTTGTACTGCCCAGCTCTCTTCTGAACAATACAAACTTATATAAAGTCTGCCATTTTATTAATAGAAAATTATATGCACTAATCCTATTATCCCAAATGGAGGTTTCCCCAGACACTTCAATCCAAACACACTGGTTTAGCTAAATCAGTGAAACAAGTTTATTAACTACAGAAACATAGGTTTAAAGTGATTACCAGTAATGAGGCATAAAAGTCAGATTTGTAACAGAATTACATAATAGGTTATTTTACCTTGATAATAATTTCTTCTTCTTTATAATATATTATAAAGTGTGCAGGTTTACAAGGCCCAACCAGTGTGATTTATATGGCAACAGCCACGGTGGAATTTGTTAGTGACATTGGCCTTTTGAAGTAATACGCCAAGGGGGAAAAATATAAGAAAAAATGTTTTAGCTTTTCCCCTACTATATTATACAGTTATAATTTTAAAATGAATTTATAAGACCAATGAAAACCTTTAAAAGCCTAAGATTATCACAAAATTATGGTAAATTTAGGGCCCAATCTTGCAAGGTGCTGAAAACCCTCCACTTCTTGTACTGTGCTCTGCAGGGTCAGGTTTCTAGTGCTATGAAAGGAGCAGTCCTGGACTCTGGCAGTCTTGTAAACTGAAGTCTCTTAAAGAAGAAGAACAAGTACAACACAGTAATTAGCAGTGCAAGCTTACATGCACCTTCCTACCCATGTGTGTCAATGCCTAGGGGTGAAAAGGTAGGTTAGTTTCCATACCAGTTCAATCTTTGTGGAGATGCTAATGTTAGTGATTGCAATTCAGGAAGCCACTTAAGCACTTTCCTGAGTAGGGTTGAAATTAAATACATGCTAATGCATGCATAACTTTAAGCACATGCTTAAAACCCATTGACTTCTATTGGACTGACCGATATGCTTAAATTTAAGTACATGTGTCATAAATATAAAGAGAAGGGTAACAAGCTTTATGTATGCAGTAACATAAAATCCCTCCTGGCCAGAGGTACAGAATCACTACCTGTAAAGGGTTAATCCGTTCACTTAACCTAGTTGGCACCTGACAAGAAGGACCAATGGGGAAAGAAGATACTTTCAAATCTGGGGCGAAGAAGGTTTTGGTGGTGCTCTTTTTGTTGGTTCTCTTTCGGGATAAAGAGAGAGACCAAGCAGGTAAACCAGCTCCTCACAAGATCCTGAAATGATACATCTAAAATTACAGAAATTGTAAGTAATAGCAAGGAAATGCATTAGATTATCTTTTGTTTTAGCTTGTGAATTTTCCCTATGCTAAGAGGTAATTTTATTCCTGTTTTGTAACTGGGAAGCAGAGTCAGAGGGAAATCCTCTGTGTTTTAAATCTTCTTATTTACCCTGTAAAGTTATCTTCCATCCTGTTTTTGCAGGTGTCATTCTTTTACTTTTTTTTTTTAATAAAATTCTTCTTTTAAGAATCTGATT